GCTTGGCCTCCAACTGAGAACGGATCTGAGCGATTTTATCCATCAGGTGTTCAGCAAATTCTTCTGAGCCCTCCCTACCCAGGAGCGACTGAGTGACCCTGAACAGGTCTGCCGGATGACACTCTGAGGATGCAATAAGAGTGGAGAAATGCTGACATTTCACCGCCCTTACTGCCACGAGGTAGGCTTTAATAGTGGCTCTAACCCGTGTTCGGTCAGACTCATCTGTAGGTTTCCACCAGTGGCGCTCAAGGTGTCTCTTGGCCCTGTATAGCATGAATCAGAATTTTAAATTTTCTTTCAACTGTGAGTAGAATAAGATTTTCTGGTTTTCCAAATTATCTCCAAGTAACATCATAAAAAGAGAAAGGGAACACATGGTTAAACACTTCAAAGACTGTAGATGCACATCACAACAAAATCCACATCACAACAATGGAAAAACTGTTGCAAACACCTGCAGTGTCATCAGTTGGCTGAAATTTGTAATTACAGATCTAGTCATCTCTGTGTGTAGAACTTAGCTAAGTATATTTTCAGGAAACCATTCAGCATGTACTTTTTTTTTTTTAATTGCAGTATCAGCCTAGTTGGTGTTTATATTTATGACTTTTCTTATCCTCGAAGACCGATGGTTGGAAGGTTGTCAGGAACATATAATCTGCTACTCTGAGATGTAGATAGGTTTTTGCAGAAATATATATAGTTCTTTAGAGATGCTTGTTGAAGAAAATAATGAAGTCAATATGCTTTTCGTGATGGCCCTTTTCCTTTCCTCCTTAGTTGTAGAAAATAGGATACATCAGTTTTGATTCTGCCTTCTAGGAAAACTGAGGCTTCCCACTGGCTCCAGAACTCTTGAGATGATTAAAAATAAAAGGGATTATTTATTTCCCTGATTCCATCCATTATTAGAGCTAGGTTATGCATCTTCAGACAGTCCCTCCTCTGAGAAGAGCCTGCAGTGGCAATAAATTCTGTATCAGATGAATCTTATCTACAGCATCCCTTAGAAAGCCAGGAGGCCACCAAGAGCTTGGGTGACTGGCCTCTTACTTGCAGGAAGCCTTCAGGCATGCAATCTACCTTCCGCCAGGTAGACATTACTTTTAGAGAGCAGAGAAATCAAAAAACTGGTATGACTCTGGTGCCAGTGCATCCAGTGATCCCAGAACACTGAACATCCAGCTTCTCCCATCCAGAGCATGGGAACAGCTGGTTCAGCCCAGAGCCCAGCTTGGCATCAGGGACAGGTAGCAGCAGCAGAATCATGGACTACTCACTTATGACTGCTGTGGGGGGGGGGGGAGGCACATGCAAGGGAAGGGGCCCTTTTGATTAAACCATACCTGCCATTTTGCTGCATGGGTCTGCCACTCCTTCTGTAAAAAAATTTAGAGCTGGCCTGGGAGAAGGAAGGAAGGAGCTTTAAAGGAAGGACGTGGAAAAGATATTACATAGTCCGGAGATTAAAGGAAGTATGAGAAAGAAACTCAATATAACCCT